TTTTTTTTTTTTTTTTTTTTTTTGTTAGTCCACAGTAGAAGTTGGATGGAGTGTTCAGGGAAGGGCTTAGTAAACAGGGAGTCCCAGAGATCCGAAGCCCTCGCCCAATATCATGTTGCTTCTTTGCATCGGATTAGGCAGTGAAGTAAGTCTTCCGGTTCATTTTGGCTCCGGGTAATTCAAAGCTATGTCTTTCCTCAACTCAGGTCTAGATATCAACAGTTCATGGGTGTGATATTCAGCCAACAAGGCCGCGGAAGAAGTGCAGAAAACCGATAATTGATTTCCCTCCCCATCAACTGTCACTGGTGGATATGCAATGGTATGGTGCAGAATGGGTGCAGCTATATTGGAGAGCCTGTGGGAGGGTTTAGGGGACTTCTGTAATGTAGGCCGACGACCCCTTTGGAGGGCTTAGGACTGTTAGTGGAAACCCATAGAGATCAACAGTCGCAGTTTGCATCGCAGTTTGCTCTGGAGAATACATGTAATCACTGACAGCCACACAGCTGAGACGAGCAGCCAGCGACGGATTAGGCACACAAAGCCATATAGAGGACTAGTTACAACAGGCTAACTTAGGCAGGGGTGAGGGGTGGTACATCACTCCTTCTGGAAGTAATCACTGAGGTCCGCTCGGCCTCCAACCATAATGGGGAGGAGCGGAGCGTGGGGTGAGTCAACGTTGTACTTTCCATTGACTCGCCAGGGGAGTAGGAACGGACTGTTGCTCGCCAGATGGAAAAGGAGCCAGAACCAAGAGGTTCGGGGAAAAAAAAAAAAAAAAAAAGATCTGCTTTTGTGCGTCTCTGCGTACAAGACATCCAGATTCAGGGGCTTATCCGATCCTCTTTGCAAGTGGGCCAGTGGCCCTGAGGATCCTGAGCACCCCTGTGCTTTATCAAGGTGCCAAGGACCTGAGTAAGTCTGAGTAACTGGGCAGACCCCACTGGTGCTATGTGTTTCAAGGACCTGAGGAACCCTGTGTAACGGACCATTGGTGCTATGTTCCAAGCATGAACCTGACCATAACAGTGGCCAGGTTCGTGCTTTCATAGCATGAACATGGCAGCAGCGGGGCTGGCCTTAACCCCTGAGGTTCACTTTGAAATTTTTGAACACCTTCGTGGGTTTCATGTGCACTGATTCTTGTCACTTCAGCTAAAACCCAAAATGAAACTTCCATATTGGTCAGGGCCGCTCAGGGCTCATGATCTAATTTTAGTGCCAATAGCGTGGAGAAAATACGAACGTGCGTAGAGGGAAAAGAAAAGAAAAGAAAAAAAAAAAAGAAAAAAAAAAAAAAANAAAAAAAAAAAAGAAAAAAAAAAAAAAAGAAAAAGAAGACACACCTGATACCTTTCTGTGCTGGAAAAGATTAGAGCATACGGTGGAACCGGTGAGGGAAAAAAAAAAAAAAAACCTGATACCTTTCTGTGCTGATTCACAATCTGTGTTTGTATTGGGCCAGAACTACAGTCTTCACCCAAATAGAACACTGGGTCATTATCGCTGGATCTAGAACGAAAGTTGCCAAAAAGGGGGGGGGGGGAAATAAAAGAACGCCCGCACATTACCGCTGAATCTAGACTGAAAGTTGCACCAAATACGGTTGTAATGACCGTGTGTTCTATTCGGGTGAGGAAACGGTAGGGGGCTTGGCGACTAATTCCGCTGTAAATCTTTTTATGATGAGGCGAGCATTGAGTGGATGGATCTGTGGGCAGTGCTTGCTCAACCCGCGCAGATGGAGCATATATTTTTTATTTTTGACAAAATTTTCCCCTTTTTTCCTTTCTCTATATTTTCTGTAGCCTAGGATGAAATGAGATTTCTATCGGTGGGTCATACCGTCTTCACCTGAATAGAACGCCTGATCATTATAGCTGTGTATTTGGCTCCACTGTCAGTCTAGATACAGCGATAATGACCGGGTGGTGCCCTTTTCGGGTGAAAAAGGTAGTCGTGCATAGATTGTTCTCCACAGTTTGAGCCGATGATTAACCAGCTGGCGTGCTGCAGGGAAGTTGGGTGCCATTCCAAATGGCAAATACACACACACACACACACACACACACACACACACACACACACACAAGGAGAAACTGTGGCCCCAAAGAAACGCCAACTAAACACAATTCAACAGGGTTCAATTAATTATTCAAATGGTTCATGTTGGGCTGGCTAAGGAGGTGTAATTCTTTATTAAAAAAAAACATAAAAAATCTTTATTTGTTGGGCTGGCTCAACTCGAATTTACTTGTCTTGGTGGAAAATGGGATGCTGTGGTGGGGACTTAGGGCATCGCCACACCACACTCGAAATGTGAAAAAGACAAAAATGTGGAGGGTGCATCTGGACATGATCTAGCGAAAAGTTCGTTCTCATTTTGCACACTTCGAGAGTGGTGTGGCGATGCCCTTACTTACAAGGTACAACACACATGCACACTGTGTCACACACACAACCTCCTGATGAGTCAGTGAAAGTTCGACGAAAGATTCTGTCACTGTTGCCATTATCCTTTCTTTCTGGAGTTTGTGTTTTAGCGGATAGGGAACCCGCGCACACAACAAGGGGCCTCACTGCACTACTCTCGAGATGTGCAAAACGAGAGTGAATCTTCCGCTAGAACATGGAAAGATACCGCGACATGATTTTTGTCTTTTGTGCATTTCAAGAGTGGTGCAGCGACGCGCAAGGGAAGTGCTCCGGTTGTGGAGATTTGGAGTGATGATCAATGAACACTCCACAGAATCTCACCTGTTTCTTCATTGACGTTTCGAGTAAAACTCGCATGTTTTTCTCATTGGCAATATGTGTTCTTTCCTAAAATTGATGCAGATAATGCCAGCTACCGCTGCATGGACAGCAGAGAAGATGAATGTAGGAAGCTACTCATTAGACTCAGCAGACGATAATATCAAGCTCGGCACTTCGGTAGGCCTTCGCTCAACTCCTCCCCTCCCCCCCCCATCTCCCTTCTGGACACCTAATCTTTCAGCCTTCCAATTATTCTGGTCCAATTATTATGGACCCCTATACTGGGCTTGGCTTGGGTAAATATGGATGAGTTTTCTGTCAGTATCTCTCTCCCTAGTACCAACCTATCTACTCCTAGTCGGGTTACATTTTCTTTCAGTGAAGCCTATCTATGCATACAATCTTGGCGCCCCTAAGAGTTATGGGTTGACACGAGCCTCATTCTGCTCTGTGCGCGCAGCAACACCCAGCTCCGAACACCTGGCATAGGCTGGAAAGCGAGTCACAATCGCTTTTTCCACAACCAGCCACAGGATGCCCAAGCCCACCATCTCCACTGGTGAACCCGAAGCATATACTTTGACGAATCTTGTTTGACTGCAGAGTCTTCTTTGTTTTGTTTCTTTTCTTCTTTTCTTTTCCTTTGTAAGCGGTGACAGCCTTGATCTGGATATATCCTCATCGAAGTGAACAGCCCCATGTATGGAATGCTCAGTTATTTTCCTTACCCGACTCCAGCAGGAGTCGAACTCAGGATTCTCTGTCTTCTGAGTTATGGGTTCAAGTAGTATGCATGTCTGACCGCGAATAAGCGACGTTGGTTCTCTGTCTGAGTTGGTTCGACTCCCGTAGTCTGTGTAGTTCATGAACGCAGTCAACCGTCGACTGCGGTACCCATTTCGTTCGGTGTGGATTTGACTCCTTTGAGTGGTTGGTACCAGGAAGTACCGTGGTCTTTTCTAGTGTTTGCGCGGTACCCGTTTCGTTCGGGTACAGGAAGTACCGTGGTCTTTACTACCGTCTTCACCCGAATAGAACGCCCGGTCATTATAGCCGTATTTGGTGCAACTCTCAGTCTACATACAGCGATAATGACCGGGCGTTCTATTTGGGTGAAGACGGTAGTGTCTGTGCGGTACCCATTTCTTTCGGTTACTGGGTTTGGTGTGGTGTGGATTTGAGTGTTGGTCCAGGGCCAAGTCCCACTTACACTGGTTCTTCATTTCTGGCCGTTGATCGCCATAATCTACGGTCCGAAATTGACAATTTGGGTAAGTGGGACTTGGCCCCCGGTAGCTAGAGTTTGGTTTGTGGACCTATGTGGGGATGCAAGTTACACATACAAATAATGATTAGAGTCTCCATCTGAGAAAACGGTACTTAGCTGGTGGGCTTGTCTACAAACAAGCGTGAATGTCCATCACACAGAAGTGGCAGAACAGAAGGCGGATGGGCGACTTCTTTTCCACAATTGATCTGGTTCATTAGTGGATATAAGATAACACACAACCCAAAAACAAAAACAAAAAAAAACAAAAAAAAAAACCGAATACATATTTGAAATTTGAATGATATTTCATGATTACGAAAACAAACTCTCTCATTAAAAAAATAATAATAATAATAAATTAATAATAGTAATATAAAAAAATATTGTGTCACTTCGTGGTGAACGTACTCTGCTAGAATTTCCTCTATTCCTACATGCATATGCCAAAAGAGTGGATAATTTTTTTTTCCCTTTTACGACCTACCACTACTCCTAAGGCTATACAGGGGCCCCCTGCAAGCATAGCTTTTTCTCTCTCTTTTCTTTTTCCCTTTTACGACCTACCACTACTCCTAAGGCTATACACGGGCCCCCTGCAAGCATAGCTTTCTAGTAGTTTCTACCTCTCTTTGGTGACAGGAGGCTACCTCACTCGGTGGAGGGAGGTAACGCCATGTTTGCCCCTTTGTCCTAGTGTTTAGGGTGCAGGGTTGGGGCCGCCGGTGGCCCGGTGGGGACCCGGCTAACACAAGGACCGAGCATTTGCCAGTAACTGTGCCTCGCTTTTCTTCTTCCCCCGACAAAAAGATATGTTGCATGATGAGATGGCAGAACGGCAGTTAAAATATGGGAGGTGGTAGAAAATATATATAGCTGTCCCCAGATGAGGAGACGACAAAAAAGAGAAAAAGAAAAAAAAGATATTAATTTATTAAACAAGATCAAAGCGGAAACATTTGCTACAGCCGAAAAGTATAGTTGGAATTAAAAAGGCGTTGACATCAACAATGATCCAACATGGGCTAACAGTAATCCGTTGACGAAGCCAAGCCAATATGCCAATCCTTCTCTGTTAGCTTTCATTCGTTGACATCAACAATGATCCAACATGGGCTCAGTGAAAATTGGATTCAAACTGTGAAGATGCGGTGTACTGGTGGCCAGATGAGGTCTCCAACATGGGCCGAGTGAAATTGAATTCTCTGCGAACATGCAGAGTACCGGCGGGCAGACCGGCAAAAGAGCCCGTGCACCTCTTTGAGCTGTCTTTTTTTTTTTTTTTTTTTTTTTTTTTTTTTTTTTTTTTTTTTTTTTTTTTTTTCCCCTTCTTCCAATATTCTGACTTCAGAATCTTCTGATTTCTTTTCCAAAATTTTCCCTCATTTCTTTTGCTGTACTCATGGCAGACTCACACACCGGCAATAGCAAAATCGCAAAATCGCAAAATCTGGCCGGCGGCCTCGACTCGATCTGGCCGCTTATTTTTGCTATTCTGTGATTTTGAGAGCCTGAAAGGGGGGAAAAAAAAAAAAAAAAAAAAAAAAAAAAAAGAAGGAAATAATAAATTCGGGAAAAACTTCAAAAAAGACTTCTCACATTTTCAGATGCTGCGCCGCTCTCTTGTGCTCAACTCCAGCTATGGTGGCTGGAGATGCTGTGTTATGGGTGAAGTGTGAGTATCTTCTCTGTTGTTTTTGAAAATCGAACTTATTCTGCGAAGGACTATGAAGGACTATCTGTTTTCAACTTTTCACACTTCACGCTGTGTTTTGAAAGTCAAACTTATTCTGAGAAGGACTATCTGTTTTCCGTCGTTCGGGACATCCGTTAAAAGGATTGGAACGATACAGAGAATGGGTGATTAGCAAATGGCCCCTGCACAAGGATGGCATGCATAAATTGAGAAATGGTCCAAATTTTTTATTGAAAAAAAAAAGGACGTGTGTATTGTAAAAGTCGTTCCGAGTTTGTTTAATAATTTGAAGTTTTCTTACGAGTGTGCATAGTACGGCTCTCCGCCACTATGTCCCTCGACAGACTGTTGGCGCAGTCTGCCGGCTTCACCTATGATTTCCCTTCGTTTATTTAATTTTTTATTTAAAAAATGCAGAAACACTCCCCTTATTTTTTATTTATTTAATAAAATTTTATCCAAAGAAAAAGAAGAAACAGTTGATGTTCACTCCTCAGCCTCCTGCTTCCAAAGAAAAGTTCCAAACTGATAATATCAACAGTATGTCTAAGTGTGGTCTTGGCTTTTGACTTGTATGTCCTTTACGTGGCTGCTTTTCTAGTAAGAGGGGGGGGG